TGGAGATTGAGTACTATTTCGCTACTTTACGTATTGAAAGACCATTGTCAGCACTATTATTTTTAATCAATAAGATCTTTTGTTTAAATGATAATTTGTGTTGTTTCATGAGTTGATAAATAAATATATGTTCCGTTCATTCTTTTTCTTTCTACTTTTTATTTGTGTCGTTTATCTCTCGTGTTATTTTTGACCCGTTCATCCTTGTTTTGTTCTGTTCTGACTAGTCTATTTCATTACTGCCTGATTTTTAAATATCATTCAGTATTACTGTCTATTTATTCTTTTATCCTTGCGGTATATTTGTCATGATAATTGAATCAATGTATACAGACATGTGCGAATCTGATTGACTGAAAATAGTATAGCGAACTTAAGCAAGTGTCCACTTTGCAGAGGTTATTTACTACAGAAGGACTGGAAGAAAGTGTCCACAGTCCAGAATAAGGAGGTGTCCACATTCAAGAGGCTCATTTTCAGCAAAAATAGCTCGGGCGGACCAGAAGGTGTCCATTATACGGAGGTGTCCACTTTAGAGAGGTGTCCACATAAGGAGGCTTCACTGTATTTGTTGTTCTTGTTGTAGCTGTTGATGGATCATCAATCATAGATGTAACAAAACCATCGACGTTTTCGCCAGACATAAGGCTTGATTTGTTTCTTCCACTCAAGCAAATAAATATGTTTATAATAATGCAACCATGTAGTGACGGGTATATTGTTTATTTTTGCACTATGAGTGAATATACACAGTAATGCACTTGGATATATTACTTATAAAATTATGTGAAAATCGCATTAAATGAAAAAAATTTAAAAGATTTGTTGTTTTTTACGGGGAATTTATTAATGAGATTGATTGAAATTTTTCGATTGGAAATGGAATGACTCATCGATAAACTCTATCTTTATTATTTTACTTGTTCTGCTATACATTTCAAATTAATTATCGAAATGATGACTCGTTCGTATGTTATACCAGATCTTGATGATGATAATGAAACTGAATCACCTAATTTAGTTTCTAAACGTATAAAAACAGGTAATTCTTCAACAATCAATGAAACAACATCTTCTTCAACAATTTCATCGAATACCATTAATGATACAGAACCTTCAAGCAGTTATTATTTTTTCAATAAAAACTAGAAAAATCTAATTTCTGATTTAATTAAAGCAGCATCTGTTGATTCAACAGCAGCAGCAAGGCTAGTAACATCTTCATCATCACTTTTCGTTCATTCTCGTCAACGAGGAAGTCCTCTGCTAAAACATCTACGTCAGGTTAAATGGGAATATTCTGATATGATATTAAGTGGTGCTGATTATTCAATGAGTCGTAGTTCATGTGCATTATTTCTATCTCTTTGTTATCATACATTAAATCCAAATTATATCTATGATCGACTTAAATCAAATTAAACTACCAAATCAAGGTTTGTTTAGATTTTGACTCTTTTGAACGATTTTGATTTCTTATTCTAGATAAATCAATTGAATTATTTCCTTCACTCTCTAGACAATATCAAAAGTAATCAGATTTACTCTTGACACTTTTTCCTCTAAAAAAAAACTCAACCAGCATACGACATCTTGATGAAGATATGATTAGACTGTAGAATAAAGAAAAATGTCTTGAAATAAACCATCAAGATAGTGTACCAAATGTTTCTCTAGATTGAGACCCAACTAACTCCTAGTCCAAATAGATGCAAAACTAAAAAACAAAATTGTATTATTTGTAAATGTCATTACTTTTGATATGATTTCAATGTGGAAAATAATTTTTTTGTCTTAGTTATATCTTGATAAAGCTCAATTAATGGCAGATCGTCTTCTTCCAGCATTTGATAGTCCAACTGGAATTCCTTATGCTCTAATAACATTATTACCGTTAGTTTGATTTTTAATAAAGAATTTATTTTTGGCTCTTTGATGGAGCATCAAAAAATTGGAATTGGGCTGCTGGTGGTTGTTCAATTCTATCAGAATTAAGAACAATGCATCTCGAATTTCAATATTTATCACAATTAACAGGAAAAGAGATTTATTTACAAAAGGTTAACATTTTCTTTTTTTATTATTTATTTTAAATCAATGGAGACGATATTCGTTTTAAGTAGAAAAATACGCAAAACTCTAAAACAAGCATCAGAAAATAATATGTATTATAATTCTATTAATCCTCAAACAGGAAAATGGTGTGAAAGTAAATTTTCTATTGAATATTTCGTTGAGAAAGATCATTCTCTTACATATAGAACAAGCATCTCCTGATGGATTAGGTGATAGTTTTTATGAATATTTATTGAAAAGTTGGATTTTATCTGGCAAAAAAGATGAACAAGCTCGTTCAATGTATGAAAGTGCAAGGAAAGTTAGTTTTGAAAAAAACAAAAATAGAGAAAAAACCTCAATTGATGAGATTTGATTTTAGGCAGCCGAAAAATCAATGTTAAGAAAAACTCCAACAACAAATTTAATGCATCTTGGTGAACAACGTTCTGGTCGATTAGATCCTCAAATGGGTCATTTAACATGTTTTGTTGGTGGTCTTTACGTATTATCTGCTTCATATGGTGCTATTTCTTCAAATTCATCAACAAAACATGAAATAAATTGCACAAGGAATTGGTAAAACATGTCGAGAAGCTTATGTTAGAACAAGTAAAAATCTCATTTATTTCTTTTGATAAAATTTAATTCTTTGCCTTTTAGCAAGCGGACTTGGTCCAGAAGTTTTTCATTTTGAACAAGTTGATGTTGAAGGAAAATCTCTATGTGATAATGAAAAATATTATATATTAAGACCTGAAGCAATTGAAACATGTTTTATTTGTGGCGAAGTACACATGATCAAATCTATCGTGATTGGGCTTGGGATGCTGTTATTGTATGTTTTACTAATTATTTAGGTTTTTTTAAATTTGAAATTTTTTTTGTTGTTTAGAGTCTTGAAAAACATTGTCGAGTTGAAGGTGGTTACTCTGGTATAAGAGATGTATATTTAATACCAGTTAGTCATGATGATGTTCAACAAAGTTTTTTTATTGCTGAAACTCTGAAATATCTTTTATTAATTTATTCTGATGTTTCTTTCATATCTTTGGATATACATGTCTTTAATACTGAAGCTCATCCTTTCCATATTCGTACTTTGTGAAAATTGTTATGTTTTTCTTTTCTGGTTTGTTAATTTTTATTATCGATGACTCAATAAATAACCAAATCTTTTTTTTGAATTTCCATCTTCGATTGTGAAAATAACGTTGATTGCCTATGAAAAGACTTTCGCTTAATTTATGTCATATCAATGTCGAGTTTTGATGAGTGACGTAGCAGCTAAGTAGTACGTAACACTTTCTTTCCTAAAAAAATTTCTCTTGCGTCGTCTATGTTATTTTGTGTCGTTTATTTCGATTTGATAGACGCAGGTGAGTGTGTTCGCCATTTAAAGTTGACAATTGAGATAATATGATTATATGTTAGTTCTATAGAGCAGAGAAATTCATTGCTGGAAAAAAACGAAAATTGGTCGATATAATATGGCTGAATTTTATCAGCAGATCCGTGTTCAAAGTAGCGAAGATTAAAAAATAATGCACGACGATCATTAAATGCAACAGGAGTAAAAGATAAAAAATCAAAATTTATTTATTGAAAAATATTTGTTTTTAATTTTACTTTCATCAATATCTCGATAAAGATGTATTGTATCAATAGGTATTTTAAATACTTGATTAGCAAGACCTACTAATATCCAAACAAGTTGTTTAGCTTGATCAAGTATTTTTCTGTAACAAGAACATTTCGTTCAATATATGATGGGATTGAGTGAAATAATTCTCTCGACTGAAGGGAGGGTCATATGAAATAAAATGAGTTTGTGTGTTCATTTGCAATCACGTATCGATCACGTGTCGCACTATGTGATGCCCATTCTTGGTGAAAATACTTCATCAAAGGTTATCGGGGTCGGGAAACCCGAATCCGTAATTTGTTTTTTTGAAATTTTGTATTGTCGAAGTGGTCTGCTTGGCGAAAATCACAGAAACTAAGCGTGCAAAAAAGAAGACCATATTTACGAATCTCGGCGTCTCGAAACTGTCTTCTCCCGACATGTGAGAATATTGCGTACCAAGGAAAGATTTAGGCTTCTGAACTATGGAAGAAATTTCATTGTCTATTTTGTATGGAGTAAGAAGAAACGTAGAACAAGGAAAAAACTAGCGTTGTTTTGAAATCATTTTTTTAGGCGTACTGGTCGAAACGTTTGTGAGAAGTGACCCGAAGTCAGTGAGTTTTATCCATGTTGTGTCTCTCTATCTGTTCTTTGTTTTGTTTGATTACGGTGATAGTGACAGCGTGATTAGTGATAGAAACATCAGAGCGACAGATAGTTGCCATCGTCATGGATTAAAAGACGTCATTAGGTGCATATGAAGTGACAGACAGGATGCTGGATATGATCACCATTTTAGGGCGGGATAATTAAAATGATATCCTGTCAAATGAAAGAACAATAATATCACCAGATGATCATCATTAGCATAGATCAACTATTTCGCTAGACAATATAGATTGATGATGGGAGAGCTGGACATGATCATGCCATGGTGCCGGTACAATCAAAATGATAGTATGTCAAGTCAAAGGAAGATAATATCACCAGTTTATCATCTTTATCGTAGATCAAAAGACTTCAAGAGATCAATATAAAATAAACAATGAGAGAACACCTGACATCGATTAAGGTACAATCGAGTATAAATACTGATGCATTTCTTGTAGTGAATTATTCCATCGACTTAATCACTGCTATTGCTGTTGACAACGTCGCTTCTGTGGTATGATCATTCATAATATACAGTCTGGTGCATAATTATAAGACCACTTGTTTTTAAACTAAGCTTAATCAAATGAACCCTATTTTGAGTGATATGATGCAAGTGAGTCATAAGAATACCGATGTAAAATTTTCAAGCACCAGTCCTATTATTTTCATATATCCCCCTGGCCAAAATAAACTGGACACTTCATTTTTTAGATT